AGGTTCGGAATCCTCAGTTTGAGCTGGCGCCTAAGAGCGCATTCGTACAGCGCGCACGGCCATAGCAAAAAAGAGGTCACCGCTCTTCTCTCCCTGGCCTTCCCTTAACCGAGATTGTCCAGGGTGAAAGAGTCCAGAAGTTAAATTTGTTACAGAACTGTCACGCAGCAAGACAAGTTTTCGAAGCCGAGTGGTGAAGCCGGTGAGTTGCTCCAAACGGGAGACTCATCGTCGTTTCTTGGTTTTCAAGTCTCCACATTGGAAGTATTTGTTTTTTTTAGATCGTGTAGTGGATTTCTTTGGCTAGGCCTAACTCTTGCAGTGGCAAGCTCTGCACCATCACCGCAGAACATAAGTCTGCCCTCTTCACGTCGCTTCACGTCATCTGATCTTGAACAATAACTATGTTATTCTTGAGGCCTATAGCGCGAAGCGCTCAGAGAGCTAGCAGTCAGCAGACGCAACATATGAACAAAGCTGCCCTCAGCTCACAGCCAACGCTGGGTGAGAAGCGCATCTCTTAACATTTTATTTATTTACCCTGGGCACTTGCCCACACGGCAAGAAGGCCTAGGCCAGGTGAAAGCTGCATCAAGCCCTGCCTACTCACATATGATCACATGTGCTTATCACTTGGTTAAATCATCATGATTACTCGGGCACTTCAACAACACAGACCTCCGTGTCAGCTGTGTCGTCCGTTTTCCAGATGCTAGTCGCATCCAACTGTGGCCCGAGGCCTAGGCGCACTTGGCCGTCGGAGAAAAAGGCAAGCATGCCTCGCCTGCGCTGCTGGCAAGCAAGAGGCCGTAGTGGAAATGAGCCTAAGCAACTTTTGACCCCCTCCTATCTGCTTGCAGGATCCCTGCACGGACTTCGTGAGCCCAGGAGCCGTGATCCAAGGCACATGGTGGAGCATAGTGGTCAGACTTGGACCAGGACAGATGTTGAGATGCCGACGGTCTGAGCGGCGACTGCGCTTGTGGCCAGTGCTGTCCAACAGCTGGGCACGGACTGACAGTGCCTCCCCTGAAGCCGATCAAGCTAACTTCGTTGTGGTGGCTTTGCAACCGATTTCTGTGATGAGGCCTCCCCCGTGGACGTGATGCAGGCTGCAAGTCTCAGCAAGTTGTTCAGATTCACCGCGCGAATGGCCTGTTTAGGATATCAGTTCCAGAACGTGGGACCGCTGGTCGGATGCCCGCCTTCGCTGTGGAGCCCCTGAAGCAGTCAAGCAGCAAGCGTTGTCTGATAACGCTATTCTGAGCCACACAGTGAGGATCTACTTCGTGGGTAGTAGTGTGGTTCCAAACCGTTGCCCCTGGCAAGTTCAAGAGGCAGAACCTGCGCATCTACGCCACCTGAGCTACCTGAGCCTTGCTGCGTGCATTCCAGTTGCCAGGTGATGCTGCTCTTTGAGCAACTGTGCGATGTCACGCACCTTGGCAGGCAATACTACAGTAGCTACAGTGCCTGCGAAGACATGTCTCTCCATTCCAGGCAGAGCTACAGTCTGCTGAACAGCGCCTCTGGGTGTGTTGCGACAAAGCGAGACGAGTCGGACCATGTCAGCAATCCTGACAGCAGTGAAGACCCTGACGCTGCAAAAAGCTCGGCATTTGAGTTGTAGCCAAATGCAAAAAGCTGTCACGAGTGCCCATGCTGCGCCGTGTGAGGACCGCTTGACTGTCCAGGAAGTCTTTGAGCGCTACGACCTTATCGTAGCAATGGATGAGGAAACCCAGACACGGGTCGCCGCTCTGGCTGCCACTCAGCTCGTGTTAAGGACAAGCCTTTTATTCAATTTAATGTGAAAACCTGTGAACAAGATGCTGTCCCGCATGATTCTGCATGTTTCTCCATGTTGTTCTATTTTGGGGAATCGCTTCAGCAGGGTGACAGCTCGCGGCTCTGCTGCCTATCGGACTTTTTGGATGTGCCTCGGCTCTGGGAAATTACATCGCAAGTTCGCGTGATCTGCACGTTCGCCTACACAAGATTGATCTGCTGTCAGGTTTGTTCGCTTCAAGACCAACTTTGCCAGCTGAACTTGCTATGGGATCGGAAAGGTCTCACCTGTTCCGTGCGGCCAGATGCTGGCAGTGTCGAGTGTGCCAGGAGCCTCCCCAAAACGCATCTGGATTCTGGAGCTTCTGTGCGGTTAGTGTTCACTGAAGGAACTTGACCGACCTTGGTCTGGATCAGCTGGACAGCTCTGATGTGCTACTCGTGGCTCAGGCATTGGCAGTGGCAGGCGCAATTGCTTCAAGAAACGCATGCCTGTCACCCAGACCCCTGCAGAAATCCCAAACACGGGACAAGTCGGGTGCTTTGTCTGGATCCCGTAGCGTGTCTGGGGAGAGAGACCTTCATGTCGTGGCATTGTCTGAGAATCAACATGTTTTGCAGGCCTCGAGCGTGTCCTGGATGCAGTCCAGCGTGGTTGAAAGTCAGTGATAGACCAGACAGTCCGACCGCATTCCGTGTTGTGTCGGCATTGCGTCCGTGGCTGGATGCCCAAGGCTTCTTGATCTCTCTCTTTCCGCAGAGCTTGAAGGCACTTCGCTGCAAGAGCAGGGATCCTGCGAATCCGCCTTCTGGATGCAAACAAGTGCTCACAGGCACTCCCCACAACCAAGGACAGACTTCACCCTTATCTTGTTCCGAAGGGCCTGTGAGTCTGTGAGCTCAAGCGGCATGCTTTCAATGGGTGGTCCTAAGCCCAAAGCTCCGCCATGGGCTTGGGGATCGCCGCCAAGTGGCAGAGCCCTGGCCTTTGTTCTCGGTCTCCGTGACTTGCTCTGCGGCAACTAATACAATAGTTTCAGGTGCTTAGCCCAGCAGGATGTTTGAGCTAGTTCAGGCGCTGCCGCAATGTTTCCAGCTTGATGTCAGGAGGAGTGTGCAGCTGGACCCATGATCCTAGCCTAGTTGACTGTATACGTATGCATTGTGCGTGCACGCTTCTGCCTTTCTACCAACGCTTGGGCACAAATTGCCTGCAAGTGTTCACAAGTTTCAGGTTCAACTGCAGTTTGCGGGCTGTGTGCAAAAGTTGCCCTCTCCAGCATCTCTACGCAAGTTCAGCCAACCATTAAATCCACTGGCAGGCGCGGGAATCCGGACTGCCGGTCTTCCTGGCCGACGTCGCGCGCAGTCAAGTGTGGCACCCAACTTTTGGGCTCTTCTCGGTTAGGCTCCCCACGAGACTTCACACTCCCTGTCTGAGTGTGCTCAATCCATGGATTTGGTTCAAGCTTGCCAGGAGTAGGCTCGCAGCTTTCTCATGGCGCGTGGGCTGTTAAGCCCCCAGTCATTGCGGTGCCTTGGCCTGCTTTCCAATCTCGGGAGAAGGCAGCGACCATCATGGTCAGCCCTCCAGCTCCGAACGTGCGGGAGTCAGAGTGACATGGCAGGCGTGCACAAGAGCCCCATCGTACAGCTTTTGTGGAAGGAGAGGGCAAACCTACAACGAGTGACTGCTACTGGTGGCAAGCCCCAAGAGAAGCTTTTGACAAAGACCGCATCGGATTCCCGTGTAGCGGTCTCCTATAACTTCAAAGACGATCTGCTTCTGAAGGAGCAGTACGCCAACTTCAATGGTTTGATTCAATTCAGTAAGCTGTTTGAGGATTTGGATGCTCTAGCAGGCAACGTTGCCTTCAAGCATTGCGATGATGATGACCCTGAAACAAGAATGCCGCATTTGGTGACTGCTTCTGTCGCATGGCTGCACGAGGCACACCACGTCGTTTCTTGAAAGCTTTGGCAGTTAGAGCCTGCTTAGATGCTTTCCAACAAAGGTGGATCGAATCCGACTGGCCCCAGGCATTGCTATTTCACTGGACCAGAACTATCAGATGTCTGGCCAAGTCTCGTGGGTGGGTAGTTCATCACTGATTATTCACATGAAGCTCACGCGCGAATCCGACAGCGTTGACGTTCTGGCGGCCAACTTTACCTTTGTGGCGAGGGACATCATGTCTGGCAAGAGCTGCTGCTCTGCTTGCAGAACAGCGTTGGTTTGTGTTGGCAAGGGGAGGGGTGGACGGATGTCAGCAATTCTTCTGGGACATCTCCTTGTGCCTCAGGCAAGGTCAACCGCTTAGAGCCAGAAACAGAGGTGGGACTTCCTGATGGTCATGCAGTCATGCACATCATATTGTATCACAGCGCTTTGCATGTGGTTGAAGGAAGGTGCTGTGTGGCTGAGAAGCGCAGGAAGAGAAAAAGCTCTTCCAGATGGCCGATGACAAGAACAAAGCCAGGATGCTGTTGCTGTTCGTGAGTTGGGGTTTTGTAGGAGGGCTGGGTGTAAGGCTGTAAGGGTAAAGCTAGACCTGGAATGTACATGCTTCGCGTTAGCGTCATTAGCAGCTTTGCGAGGAGACTGGCTCGAGCAGCTGGCAAGACTGCATCAAACGCTGAGACGGATGCAACGCATACGTCTTTGGCAAAGGATACGCAGCTTGAGCGCATGATGTCGAATGATCCAAAAACAAGGTGACGGCGCCCCTAAGGGGCCGTGCGTTTAAACACGTTTTTCTGATTGGTTTGGTATGGCGGATGCGCGAAACTGGGCAAATATTCGCATTTCGTAGCTCGAAGGCTGTTAAGCGGGTTCGCGAAGTGCT